GCTTTTACATATTTAAAATGTCTTCCTTTCTTACATTTCTCAGTACTAAGCCCTATAGACTCCCCGGGGGGGGGGCATATAATCAAGGAGTTGACCTTGAGCATCACCATACATTACCATGTCACTGTCATCAAATGAACCACATTTTTCCACTGTCATCTATAACTCTACCCAGTTCTTCCTTTCCGATCCTGGTGTGATCTTTTAATTGATCGATGAAGATTCTTGCTCGTCTATCTCTTGATCTTTCTCCGTAATTTGAATCCTATAAGATAAGCTGATACACAATGTCTTGTTTACTTCTCCAGTAATAGCCACTAAACTAGAGTCGCCTTTCACGGATTGTCTATAATCTTTAATAGGTTCCAATATAATTCTTTATTGGTTATATCTTGTTTCCAGCTGACATTTAGCTCTGATCTCAGTAGTTAAGCTTTTATTGTTGAACTAAAGAGTTGTACTTTCAAACTCTTTTTCTTTTTTTTTTTCATTTTTGACTTCTACATGGTTTGACAGTTATGTCTATGCTATTGTAATTCTGTTGATATAATTCTAAAATGACCCAAAACATACATAAAAACAAAAAAAAACATGTAATTACTTTTTTAATCATTTCACCCCAAGTAAAGCAATAAAGTCACTAAGGTACAAAAGTTACTGAATGTCAAAGAATGAGAAAGTGATAATTAAGGAGAGAGAAGCATAAAAAAAGAGGAATTAAGAAGGTAGAAGATCGATGTTACTTTTAAATTTTTGAACATCAAACTTGACTGGAAAGCAAGAAGCCAGAAGAGAGTTCCACAAATGTGAACTGTGAAAGAAGAAACTCTTAGCATAGAACCTACGGTTACATCTATGCATTTTTAACAGTGACATGATGAGTAATATGGTTAAATTCATAAATTCTATGCACCACAGAGGAAAGTTCATCAAGCAATTACCATGAAATATTTACAGAAAAGTCACAGGGACGCTACGTTATGGTAGTGGGAAAGTGACTCAAGCTGAGATGCCAGGTAGGGCTGATAATATTGCAGATACTCCTTTGTATTTTATCAAGAATCTCTAAATATATATATATATGTTTAGATTGTTAGTTTAGTACAGCCTCATGTACAGTGGCAGAAAACAAAACGTTTTTTCTTCCCTAGTATATTTATCATAGAAGATAATATCTCATCTATTATTCACATATCTTGAAATCCCTTAAACATTATTGAATAAAAAATGCAATTAGTAATACTAATTAATTTCATCAATTAATTAGAAGATAGTATCTCTATCATTCACATACACATATCTTAAAACCATTTAGTAATTAATAGTTTATATAATTATTATTACACTAATTTCATCAATTAGAAGATTGTCTGTCCTATCATTCACATATCTTAAAATCAATAATTAATTATTGAATTAATATAATTAGTGATAATTAAGGATTAATTATTGAATTAAAAATGTAATTATTAATACTAATTTAATCAATAAGTAGATACTGTATCATTTTCATACATATATCTTAAAATCAATTTTAAATAATATTTTAGAGTCAGGTTTAAGGTCACTTCATGTTGGAGCATTGGTTCTCAAATGATCACCTAAGTTAAGCAATGTCAAGCCGAGTTTCAATTCCCATTGGGTTTGTTATATTCACTTACATGCAAAATACCCTTGCGAAAGGCATGAATCCACCTCTTCTCCTACCAGTTATGGGACTTGTATCACTAAACCATTATTATCTATTAAAAAAAATATCTTAGAATCTAAAAATATTTCCTAGCTTTAAATAACCACCAAAGGGTTGTTAAACCATAGAAAACGAATCAATCAACCAACCATGTTTTAGAATCAGTATACTTAGTCTAAAACATGCTTTTATTCCAATAGCAAAATCTTTGTTTCCCAATGTAAGGCATGGGGTTTTTTCTGGGTGTTCCATTTTAGGTACTGCCTATATAGACAAACATAAACATTTACCTTTTTATAAAGTTTGATTGGTAAAGAAGCTAATTGTGTGTGTCAAGTTCAGAACCACATGGAAATAATTTTTTTTATTTATTTAAATTTCTTTTTTGTGTTTTTTTCCAAAAGATGTATTTGTTGGTTAGCTAGGAAGTTTATATGATCTCAATTCTGCTGAAAATCTGGGAGCCATCTTGAAGGAACATGTTAAAAATGTCTTCTTGGATTTACCAAAAAAGTATCAGCATTCTCAACAGAAATTAATGGGATTTTTTTTTTTTTACAATGATGTTCCCCATGTCTTGTACACTTGAGGTAGAGCATTACAGAGTAAGAGGCACAGTTTATGGTGATGCATGGAGAAGGTAAATGATTAACCCTAGACTTGAACAGGTTAAGACTGTAGTAATTGGGAGTTAGTAAAGAGAAATTAAAAAGCAAACAATGTTTTCATGAACATTCTTTGCTCAAAACTAAGTTTGTTTTTTGTTTTTTTTTCATGTTTTCTTTTTTTTTTTCTTTTTTTTTTCTTTTTTTTTTTTTTTTTTTTTTTTTTTTTTTTTTTTTTTTTTTTTTTCTTTTTTTTCTTTTTTTTTTTTTTTTTTTTTTTTTTTTTTTTTTTTTTTTTTTTTTTTTTTTTTTTTCCTTTTTTTTTTTTCCTTTTTTCTTTTTTCTTTTTTTTTTTCCTTTTTTTTTTCCTTTTTTTTTTTTTCCTTTTTTCTTTTTTTTTTTTTTTTTTTTTTTTTTTTTTTTTTTTTTTTTTCCTTTTTTTTTTTTTCTTTTTTCTTTTTTTTTTTTTTTTTTTTTTTTTTTTTTTTTTTTTTTTTTTTTTTTTTTTTTTTTTTTTTTTTTTTTTTTTTTTTTTTTTTTTTTTTTTTTTTTTTTTTTTTTTTTTTTTTTTTTTTTTTTTTTTCTTTTTTTTGTTCTTTTTTTTGTTCTTTTTTTTTTCTTTTAAGTCTTCTGGTAGAAAATTGGTAAAAAAATATTGATAATTCACTGATATTCCTCAACATGACATTATTTACAACTAGGCTTACAGCCATATTATGTTGAAATAGCAGTTCCCATACGATCACTGAAGTTAAGCAATGTGGAACCTAGTTTTATGCAAATTTTAAAAGAAATGATCCTAACTGCAGGAGACGTCCTGGGTAAGACGTTAAACTACGTCCAGCAGCAAGACCTCTGATTAGGAGGTTTTGAGGAGCGTGGAACCAGCTCTTAATTGCTGGTGTTCCCAGGTCCACTCTGAGCTATGGGCAAATAGTTAACTATTACCAGCAATCCTTTTTTTTTTTTTTTTAAATTATTACCAGCAATACAATTTTGAAGGAAATATATTACCAGAAACAGATTTTTGACAAAACAAAATATTACCGGCAATAAAAATTTTTGTCAGCATTAAATAACCCATTGAGGTTGATATGTCGTAAAACAAAATAAACCAAACCAATCTAAACCAAAGAATACATATTCTATTCATACGAATCTATCCTAAAAATGTTGTCGGCATTTAATAACCCATTGAGGTTGATATGCCGTAAAACGAAATAAACCAAACCAATCTAAACCAAAGAATACATATTCTATTCATACGAATCTATCCTAAAAATGTTGTCGGCATTAAATAACCCATTGAGGTTGATATGCTGTTAAACAACATAAACCAAACCAATCTAAAGCAAAGAATACATATTCTATTCATACGAATCTATCCTAAAAATGTTGTTTAATTAAATAACCCATTGAGGTTGATATGCCAAAATTTGATAAAATAAACCAAACCAATCTAAAGCAAAGAATACATATTCTATTCATACGAATCTATCCTAAAAATGTTGTCGGCATTAAATAACCCATTGAGGTTGATATGCTGTTAAACAACATAAACCAAACCAAACTGCAGGAGAAAATCACTGAAATTAAGCAACATTGAGTCTGGTCAGTACCTAGATGGGTGACATGACTCAGAATTGTTAATCAGAGAGTCGTACTCCAGTTTCAGTTTGTTATATTCACTTATATGCAAATACCCTTGGAATCCACATCTATCCCCACCTATGGGTCAATTATTAAAACTTGTATCACTAAATAATTATCTCCAGAAAAATTCTTACAATCTAAAAATATTTTCTGGCTTTAAATAACCTGCAATGGGTTTATAAGACATAAAAAAACAAATCAATGAAATACTGATTTGCTACACAGGCATGTCTTTATTTACATTCTCTAGAATATTAATTTATAAAAACCTATCATGGGCACAAAATGAAGGCTCAGTTTATATGTTGATTTTTTTAGCAAATTGATCCCCCACTTTACATCCAAATTACAATTTCTTTATCAAATTCTGATTAGATAGGAATCCACCTCTTCTCCCCGCCTCCCAACTATGGGTTAATTGTAAGAGTTGTATCACTAAACCCTTATTAGCTCAAAAAAAATTTCTTTCAACCTAAAAGTATTTTCTGGCTTTAAATAAACTGGAAGAGGTTGATAATCCGTAAAAAACTAATTAATCAAACTCTTTACAACTACTAAATATTTTTTTTACTATTTACAACTTTCTTTATATACTATTTCAGTACTTTTCTTTTCAGATGAAACCTAATATTTCTAATATGCTATAAGCTGAAACTATGACTATGATTCTTTGTGCTATTCTTTTGCAAATTTCTATTTTTGAGAACATGTAAATAGAATGAAGAAGGAAATGGATACATGAAGTTCACTGAATATTCGGCCATCTTTGTTTTAACAGAAAATGATTGGCCAAAAACAGTTTTAAAACTATAATAGATAAAAAAAAAAAATATAATGAAAATTTTTGGCTTGGAATTGGAAGAAATTGATTTTTTTTATGCTTACAAAAATATATATTTTGGCCTTGGCATTAACAGCCTGTCTGAATTTATCACATAATGGTTCCAAATCTTACATGGGATTGAACAGTCATGTTCTTTGGATAAATATACTTTGTTCATTTTGATGGAAAACTGTTAGATCTGACCTTAAAATCAGACACCCACTTATAAATGAATGCAAACAGGAAAGCTCAGTCTTCCTTTCTTTTTTTTTCAATCCACAAAAGGTCAAAGGATGTTGAGTGAATGTAAGGAAAATCCTAACTTGAACTGTAAATCATTAGAGGGCCAGAGTATATGTTATTATGATAGGGTGTGTAAGGCTGAGTAGAGTACGGGACATTAAATGCTGATTACAGGAACAGGGCAAATCTGGATTTGGAGTAAGACTGGCATTGAATGAACAATGATGCAAAATAGTTATTCTTCTTCTATATGCTGTGTCCCTTCAGGATGTTGGCGATAATGGTTCTCCACAATTTCCTGTCCTTTGTAGCTCTTGGTAAATTTTGTCTTTTTGTTATCTCTCCTAAACCCTGTTCAGTCATCCATTTACACAAGCTCTATAGGTAGGTTATGTATTGTTCCCCCTCTTGCATTCAGGGTGGTAGCATTTGTTAGGGTCTCATCTATGTATAAATAATGGAACCCCAAACTGAGATCAAAACCCTATGAAAGTATGAAAATACATTTTTTGTAGTAAAAAATAATAGTAATAGATTTTAATAGTAAAAACAAAATTACCAAAGCTCCCAAGAAAATTAAATTTCGGCATTAAATGACCCATAAGGTTTACAGAAAATATGTTCAAATGTGATGCATTAAGTAGAATCCTAGATTGTAAAATGGCATTTGACAATAGTTATATAATAATCTAAATGCATAAACCTATATATATATATATATATATATATAGCGCGAGAGAGAGAGAGCACGCAGTGTGTTTTCATGGTAATAATACTGTGCTTGATGTAAAATAACAGCTAAAATTTATACTAATAATAAATACATGGCACAGTGGATAAAGGTGTTGGTTAGATCCAGTGACAGGACCCAAAGAGTATGAGTTCAATACCTGGTTAAGGCAGTGGAGAACTTGTAGAGGGGTATTAACAGGAGATAACTGACATCCATTAAACATGGCATGTGGAACTAGAACAGTCTACCCTAGTGAGCAAAATAAAGGGTTCAATTTGACATTCCAACCACTTAAACAAGGCCAGAGTATACAACAGCCAAAATGTTGTGATAAATATGGCGACAAGGATGAGGACAATAGTGTAATAATAGATGTACTTTTTTTTTTCTTCACCATTTGGTGCAACTCTGAGTTTCATGGATGTGGGAATTGTCATGTACAGATTGTAAACTGAATGTTGTAAAATTTAAATATCAATATTTATAGCCTACTGTTAAGTTAGTGGAGTAGTTCATTTGCTTATGTAAAAGAAATGTATATAAATTTAGCATATATATTGAACTGATGGCATGATATTTGAAAGTCTCTTTCAATTTTTACTTTTGAAGCAATGAGACATGTCTCTTCTCACTTTGGTAGATATATGTGTAAGTACTTTAGAGGCACAGACTGAAGACTGTTTTGGACTTTTCATAACTTCGACTGTTTCTTTTTTTATTCTTCTGTAACATCTTGTTAATACATTTATCAATTGTTGCTTCTTTGAATTCCATGTTTTGTGTCTATTTTTTTTTCTTTTTGTTTTACCCTGACTCAGGTGAGTTTGCCAAATATAGTTTGCAGGACAAATGTACCAGGAGATATAAAATGGATAACTTCCATTCCCACAATAATATAACCAAGAAATTACAGAGCAAAATAAATATTTTTCTTATAAGTTCAATGCAATTACAAAATTACTTAAATACTGCCCTCGTTACTATTTTTTTTTTTTTTTTTTTGACAGCACTGTATAATTGAATGAAAATAAAAACCGAGTTGAAATTTAATTCAGATCTAATCTTTACAATGATATTGTTAAAATAAAAATCAAGCATCCAGGTGAATCAAGTTGTCTTGTTAAAGTACATTTTATTGTTGTAAAATAAAATTTTAATTACATTGGTCAATTAATAAGGTATGTCAGAATAAAAATTTTCTCAAATGTCATTTAATTAACACATACAATTTGCGATGGGTAAATTGTCGCCACTTTATATTTTTAATTTTGTGCATGCGTGTTGTTTGTATTTTTGATTTTGTGTATGCGTGTTGTTTGTATTTTTGATTTTGTGTATGCGTGTTGTTTGTATTTTTGATTTTGTCAACTCCACAGTATAGTATAGTCAGTTAGGCACCGTGAGAAAAAGAACACCATGATGCAATTCACTCCACCAGAAATTTGAAAACCGTATTCGGTACTGCTTGGCATTCATGCCAAAAGCTCCAATATGAATATTTCAGAGTGTTTGACAGTGCAGAGGATTCAGAAAGAGTTGGATGAGTTTAATGGTGATTACGAATGTGTTTGGAGTGATCACTAGTGATGGCGACATTATGCCTCCATTCATCTTCCCACAGGTTCTCTGATTCAACAAAGAGGCCTACATCAAGTACCTTGAGGAGGTAGTGCTGCCCTGGGTCAAGAGGACAGCTGCTGGAAGACCATATGTCTGGCAACAGGACTCTGTACCGAGCCACACAAGCAGGAGAACCCAGTTATGTCTGTCAGGCAATTTTTGTTACTGCATCACCTCTTACGTCTGGCCACCTAGCTCTCCAGACTGCAAAGATGAACTGAAGAGAAGGATTATGGCAGCATTCACCATCTTGAACAAGGAAACCATCCAAAAAGTTGCAAGAGATTCCAAAATTGTCTGGAGGTCATGGTTGAAGCCAGTGGCAATTTTATTGAATAAATTTGCTTTTTACTATTTTAAGGTATTTTTGCTTAATTTTGGTAAATATATCTGTCAAAATGAGATGTCAGTGTTAATTTAGATGATAATTTATCCATTGTTCAGTGTTAGTAATATTAACATTAGCATATATATTGATACACTAACTGGCAAGTGGGAAACAAATAACTTTCTTAGCACCAGATTGCTGGTAAATTATGACTGGTACATAAAAATCATGCAAATAGAACCATGTGAACTGGCACTGCAGAATCACAAAAAACTGTACCAAATAGGAAAAACCAAATCACTTGAGGATTTTCAACAACTAAAATGGATAGTATATGTAACTCAAAGAGAAAATAATGATATAATTAAAATGTTGATGTTCCACACTACTTAAAACAAAAGGTTATGAAGGAAATTCCCATCAACAGTGGAAAGAACGATAACAGTAGACTTGAACTTTATTTTCCATAATAATTATTTTAGAAGATTTTACAAATTTCAACCAAAAGTAGCACTGGCTGTTTAGTTACTGGATGCTTCCTTATAAGTAAACAGTTAATTATAAGGAAACATTTGGCATTCAGTGACCAAACAGCCCCTGTTATTATCGATGTTCCAGCATTGATGGAGGATTCTTCCTTAGGCTTTTTTTTGTTTAAAGTCATATAGAAAATAACATCTTATGGCAATAGAGTGAACTTGAAGTTGGCTATTTTAGTCTCAATGTAAATATGGCAAACATGGACAAACATAATCACAATAAGATGTGTCAAATGAACAAAGAAAATGTATAAATTCACTTTCATCATATGCTTAGGTTTTATTACGATTCTATTCATTGCTTTTTAAAGCAAACATTGCCAAGGAGTGAAGGTAGTTAAAATAATAGCGATGTCATAGGAAAAACCAACTTCTGATATGTTTAATTGCAAGCATTTTTATCCATTTAGCAATAAATACTGTAAACTCATCATCCCAGAAATTCAGACAGAAAATTGTATAATAGATGTGTAATGGATTTGCACATAGGTACATCAATAAGTCCATAGCACAACAGCCAAAACACTGTGATTAATATAAATTCCTTGTTCTAGAAATTCAGACAAAAATATTATTTGTTTAATGTTCAGAAAGTCTTGAACATAATCAAATGTACAAAATTTCTTTTTTGTTATTTTATAAGTACAGAGCAATTGTAAAATTACTTCAAATACCTGTGAAAATTTCATGGCTTTCCTATTAAAAATTTTTTTTTTTCACACACTGAAATCAAACAGTATCTCTGATATGTATTTTCTATCTTTCCACGTGATCAAAACAGAAGAGTTGATTATTTATGAGATATTAGCAGAGCTCTCCTTTTTTTTTTCCTCTTTGTTCCTTTCTTCCTTTTCTTTTCTTCCTCTTCTTTTCTTCCTCTTTGTTCCTTTCTTCCTCTTGTCTTCCTCTTTGTTCCTTTCTTCCTCTTCTTTTCTTCCTCTTTGTTCCTTTCTTCCTCTTCTTTTCTTCCTCTTTGTTCCTTTCTTCCTCTTCTTTTCTTCCTCTTCTTTTCTTCCTCTTTGTTCCTTTCTTCCTCTTTGTTCCTCTCTTCCTCTTCTTCTCTTCCTCTTTGTTCTTTTCTTCCTCTTCTTCTCTTCCTCTTTGTTCCTTTCTTCCTCTTCTTTTCTTCCTCTTTGTTCCTTTCTTCCTCTTCTTCTCTTCCTCTTTGTTCCTTTCTTCCTCTTCTTCTCTTCCTCTTTGTTCCTTTCTTCCTCTTCTTCTCTTCCTCTTTGTTCCTTTCTTCCTCTTCTTCTCTTCCTCTTTGTTCTTTTCTTCCTCTTCTTCTCTTCCTCTTTGTTCCTTTTTTGTTCCATCCCTTTATTTTCTTTCTTTTTGTTCCATCCCTTTATTTTCTTTCTTTTCATTCCTTCCCTTTATTTTCTTTCTTTTCATTCCTTCCCTTTATTTTCTTTCTTTTCATTCCTTCCCTTTATTTTCTTTCTTTTCATTCCTTCCCTTTATTTTCTTTCTTTTCATTCCTTCCCTTTATTTTCTTTCTTTTCATTCCTTTCCTTTATTTTCTTTCTTTTCATTCCTTCCCTTTTATTTTCTTTCTTTTTTCATTCCTTCCTTTATTTTTCTTTCTTTTCATTTCTTGCTTTACCTTTTTCTTTATTTTCATTCTTTATTTTACTTTTTCTTTCTTTTCATTCCTTCCTTTATTTTCTTTTTTTCATTTTTTTTAACCTTTTCTTTCTTTTTTCATTTTCCTTTATTTTCTTTTCTTTTCATTCCTTCCCTTTATTTTCTTTCTTTTCATTTCCTTCCTTTATTTTCTTTCTTTTCATTCCTTCCCTTTTTTTATCTTCTTTTCATTTTCTTCCTTTATTTTCTTTTTTTTCATTCCTTCCCTTTTTATTTTCTTTTTTCTTTTCTCATTTTTCCCTTTATTTTTATCTTTCTTTTCATTCCTTCCCTTTATTTTCTTTCTTTTCATTCCTTCCCTTTATTTTCTTTCTTTTCATTCCTTCCCTTTATTTTTCTTTCTTTTCATTCCTTCCCTTTATTTTCTTTCTTTTCATTCATTCCTTTATTTTCTTTTTTTTTCATTCCTTCCCTTTATTTTCTTTCTTTTCATTTTTCCTTCAATTTTCTTTTTAAACATTTTTCTTTATTTTCTTTCTTTTCATTATCTTCCCTTTATTTCTTTCTTTCTTTTCATTCCTTCCCTTTATTTTCTTTCTTTTCATTTTCCCTTTATTTTCTTTTCTTTCATTTCATTCCCTTTTATTTTCTTTCTTTTCATTCCTTCCCTTTATTTTCTTTCTTTTCATTCCTTCCCTTTATTTTCTTTCTTTTCATTCCTTCCCTTTATTTTCTTTCTTTTCATTCCTTCCCTTTATTTTCTTTCTTTTCATTCCTTCCCTTTATTTTCTTTCTTTATTACTGAACTCAAACAGTGTCTCTGATAAGTCTTTGCCATCTTTCCTCACAATCAAAATGGAACAGTCTATTTTTCATGAGGTATTTCAGAGCATTCCTTTCTTTCTTTTTCTCCTTGAAACTAAGTAGCTCCTCTGATATGTGTTTTCTGTCTTTCCATGCAATTAAAACACAATTTTTTGTTATTTATGAAGGGCATAACATATTGTGCTAACATAGGAACTAAGAGAAGGACAATCAGAATTATAAGACATCATTTTTTATAGTACAGGTAAACTAGTATTTATAGAGGTCAATGAAAAATAGGGTAAAAAAGAATTCCTTGAAATATATATATATATATGTCTGTGTGTGTGTATATATATATATATATATATTTTTGCAAAAACTTTTCCCAATGAAAAAACTACTCCATGTTGCACCTCAATCCAAAATGAAAACCTTTATTGTACTTGTAATTTTCATCTCAATGGAAAATAGTTTAAAGTGAAGCACTCTACGACTGTTTCCTCTTCAATGTCTCTCAGTGAAAGATCTATCAACTCACAATCGGAAATCCAGCACAACTTTCTTGGGGGCTTGTAATCTTTGTCGCAAGGATAACCTCACTTTTCTTTGAAGCAGGGGTATCACTTATCTGTATTCGATATATATATTTTTCTTTCTTTCTTGTGCAAATGTGATCCGAATGCATGTCTTTACTTAGCAAGGTGAGCTGTACTTTCTGTTTACCGTTTCATCTGTCTTTTTATCATTTTGTGGTTCCTTAAATTGATTCTAAATAAATAGGAAAAAAAAAAAAAAAGAAAAAAAGCACATTTTTTTACTTTTCTTTCTCAGTAGCAGTTGTACTTATCATTACATCTTTAACTTTCAATCTCTCTCAACCAACATTAATTTTCCAATTGGTTTGTACCAATTTCTCAAGATTTGGCAGAATTAAATATTAAAAATAAAATCAGAAAAATACATACATGTGTGTGTAACTCCAAAGATTCACTAAAAAATGATCATGTTGGGATTGCTATGAGTTTGAATTTGTTATCAGAAGGTTTTTATATTAAGATGGTTAGTTTACGGGCATGTTCACCATATTAATCAACAACAATATAGAATATAGACATTCAAAAATGAATCAATAACAAGGAAATTGAGTAAGTGTGGCATGGGAACTTACCCATAATAATAATGAACTATTCCTGACATTATAAATACTGCGCCTCTCAAGAGGTATGAGCCTATATTGTAAGACTAGGAGAGATAATTGAGAGCATATTGTAAGGACATTGGAATAGTGATACTTGTCGAGACAACATAGTTCACTCTAACAAAATCTGATAGTCATTACTAATACTACTTCTTTGTATTATATTTGTATTCCATACCTGTGTTTGTGTTATTCTTTCATTGGTTCTAACCTTGGACCATCACCGTGGTACAAGGAACTTGGACCATAACAGTAAGGAACACCGATTATGAGATTTCAATAAAACAACATGCATTTATGTACAATTAATATACAATTTGAAAACTTGTAGTTTGATAATGAAAGAAATTGACCATTGGTAAAATTTTTTTTTTTTTTTTTTTAAGCGTTTCACCCCAAGCAAGGTGGGAAGCCACTAGGATGCAAGGGGTTACAGAAGATTTGGAGCAAGGTCAGATAGGAGTGATAGAGGAAAGGATGAGGAGAAGGATAGTAGATAGATCAAGGCAACAGGAGATGTTGATTGACATTACATTTGAATAGTTGGAGATTATAGCTCTCAGGGAAACTGGAATAGGGAAGGGAGTTCCACAGGCGAGAGGTGCGAGACATGAAGCTATTGGAGTAGAAGAGACGGCTACATTTAGTAGTTTCAACAGTGAAAGCATGAGAGCAGGATGCTAGCCTCGTAGTTTGAAATTGTTCAAGTGTTTAAGAACTGGTCAAACAGAGTAAAATGGAAAATATTATTTATACAGAAATTTGTGTAGTTTGTATGCGAGAATAAAGTAAGAGTTTAATTCTCTAAATTCTCCAGAGTTGTTTATCTTGGATTGTTCAGATATTTGATTGAATATTTACGAATACTTGTCAGTAGTGAGTTATTATCACTTTTTAATATTGTAAGAAATTGTTCCTGGTAGAGCGAAATGCTGCGTGTGTTGAATCAGAGAATTTTGCATGGCAAAAATGTAACTGGTCATGATTTTTACTGGTGTGGATTCATTTGTCATTTCCCCAGGATGAAATTCTGACTGCCTTGAATCGATCTGAATGCTTCCTTTTATTTAGTTCTGGAAGTTGGAATCTGCTCCAAATGGCTAGTCGCGAAAAGATATTTTGCGTGAATTTGCTACAGTTTGAACCAATGAAAAGTCTAGTTCACTGGAACTAGAGTGTTGATTGGTTAATAGGTAATTTTGTGGTAGAGTGTATTATTCCGGAGGGGTGAAGAGGTATGTATGGACTATTCCATCAAGCATACACGATGAAAGGATACCTAATAACGTAATAAAAATAATTATTTTTTTTAATCTTTTTCAGAACCTTCAAAATTTTGGTTAAAAACAAAATCTTGTTTTTCTTATATCAACGTCGGAACATAAATTACCATAAGAAATTTAAGCGTCTTTTTGCAGTGAAAAACATTGCTTCAGAAATTCATGCAAAATTGAATTGTCAGATTTTAATGAAACTTTCAGAACTTATTCACAAATAAATTAAATAATTTTAGAATCATTTTGTTTTTAGAAAATCTTAGCAAAAATATCTTTTTATATCTCTTACTTTCCACTTAATTAATTTTATGAAGTTTTGAGAAATTCTTTTCTGCCATGCTTAATGTTTAGCTTAGTTGTAAGAACAAGTCCTCAGAGAATTTAAATCATCTTTTTTGTTGGGAGGAAGGTTCATACAAGGACCACAGTTAAAAAAACATCTGCTCTGAATCATAAAATGCAATAAAACTAAGGTATTATTTATTTAAAAAATCTTTTAATTGCTTTTATGAAAAAAATTCATTATGGACATTATTTGTTCTATGAAAAAAAATCTTTTGAGGAATAATGAATTTTCAAAGAATTCTTTTTTTTTTTTAAATTTTAATTAGAATAATTTAGAAACTTCCAAATCTTTAAAAATCCTGTATTAATTTGTAACAGTCAAGTGATATTTTTATTAAGTAAAAATTACATTTAATAATCATAAATGTAAAATCTTGCTACAATTCAGTGACCCCAGTACTTTAAAAATAATTTTGAATTTTTTTTGTGTGTGTATAAACTTGCAAGTTTTTAAATACAGATGCCCATATAAACACTGCCAGAAAATAAGAGCATCCTGCGTCTGACGATAAACTACATCCAACAGCAAGGCTTCTGATCAGGAGGTTTTGAGGAGTGTGGAACCACCTCTTAATTGCTGGTGCTCTCAAGTCCACCCTGACCTGGGGTGGTAGTACCTGTTATGGTCCCAGCCATGGGCAAATAGTTAACCCCCAAACTAGGGTCAAAATACTATAAAAGTGTAAAAATAAGTTTTAATACCAGAAATACTTTATAAAATAAAAATTATTACCAGCAATATATTTTTGAAAAAATATATTACCAGCAATACATATTTGAAGGGAAATTATTACCAGAAATATATTTAAAAAAAAAATATTACCAACAATAAAAAATTTTGTTGGCATTAAATGACCCATTGAGGTTGATAAAACAAACCAAACCAGAAAATAAGAGTAATAACTATCGTAAATTTCAGATTTATTGGTAATTTTCAAATATTTCCTCAACAAACATCTTCCTGAGTAAAACTATAAAGCCCTATTATTTATTTAGAAAAAATATGTACCTTCCATCACATATTTTTCTAACATGATTTCTCAAATATTCAAGCTGCTAGATGTAAGTAAACAAATAAATATACTGTTTAATAAATTAATTAAAAAAAAACAGAGCATCTACTGAAATATAAGCATCCATTTAAAAAAAAAAAAAAAATGTTTAAACAAATAAATTTTAATGATATGGTCTTGGAGAGGTTTCAAACAAGGAGGAGTCTTATACTTAACATCAGGAAGAGGCAGATGAAATTCCTGGGACATGTAATAAGAAAGGAGGGCCTGGCGAATCTGATACTCACAGACTGAATAGAGGGAAAGAGAGACAAGGGAAAGCAATGCATGATGTACCTGGCAGGCTTAAGCAAGTGGATGACAGAATGTGGTCTTTTAGAAGGATGAAACTTACTGAGAGCTACAAGAGATAGTGCAACATGGAGAGACATGATCACTTATATCCTGAAGGGACACAGCACATAAAAGAAATATATATATATATATATATATATATATATATGAAATAAATCCTAAAGAGCCAGGAACAACCTACCTAGGTTTCACCTAAACGGATGTTCAGGGTAATTTATTACTCACTTGGGTTTTTTTCTTTGGACTAAAAACTTAAGGAACTGGACAATTTATTTTGCCCTGTTCAGATGTTTCTAGTTCTTTTATATATATATATATATATAAAAACTCACATCTATCCAACCAAATATGTATGTATATATATATATATATATATATAAAAACTCACATCTATCCAACCAAATATGTATGTATGTATGTATATATATATATATATATATATATATCTCACATCTATCCAACTAAATATGTATGTGTATATATATATATATATATCTCAATCTATCAACCAAATATGTATGTGTATATATATATATATATATCTCACATCTATCCAACCAAATATGTATGTGTATATATATATATATCTCACATCTATCCAACCAAATATGTATTATGTATGTATATATATATATATATATAAAAACTCACATCTATCCAACCAAATGTATGTATGTATGTATATATATATATATATAAAAACTCAATCTATCCAACCAAATATGTGTGTATATATATATATATAAAAAATTTTACATCTATCCAACCAAATATATATATATATATATATATATATATATATATAAAAAAA